CAAATTCGATTACTCTTTTCAAGCCTATGGTTTTGATAGCTTAAGAGAGAGAGAAGCAGATGGGTGAACACTTAAAATGTTTTCCTGATTATTTTTTTTTGGGGGGGGGGGAGTCTGAAGCTAGGTTGAATAATGTATACTTTGTGTCAGGAGCAATACACCTTTTTTCTTGTTAGGAGCGACTTAAGAAACTACAAATTGCTTCTGGTGTAAGAGAATTGTCCGTCTGGCTGTTGTCCAGGGGATGCCCAGATCTTTTAATGTTTTACCATCCTTGTGGGAGGCTTCTCTCGTGTCCCCGCATGGGGAGCTGGAGATGACAGAGGGAGCTCATCTGTGCTATCCCCGGATTTGAACCTGTGACCTGTCGGTCTTCAGTCCTGCTGGCACAAGGGTTTAACCTGGTCGCTTCTGGAGTTATACAATTGTCTGGTTGCTCCTGACACGATAAATAAATAAGGGTTTAACCCATTGCATCACCAGGGTCTCCAATACACCTGTGCAACCCATCCATTATTCTTGGGGTGGCAATGTGTTTTACTCTACAAAGAGCACCTTTCTTTGAAAGCTAACCCTAAAAGTGGGGTTAATTTCTCCAGTGCTCTGCCATGCGTCCTGCAGTCTTCACTCTCATTATATGTTTGCTACATCTAGAATACATCAATATGTAAGCACACACTAAGCAAGAGATAATATATAAACACAGTATCAGATATAAGATGAGAGCTGCAAATAGGCACTCAGTACTACCAAGTCTATGTTTATATCTCCTTTGTAGCCCCCGGTGGTGCAATGGGTTAAACCTTTGCGCCGGCAAGACTGAAGACCGACAGGTCCTAGGTTTGAATCCAGGGAGAGCGCAGATGAGCTCCCTCTATCAGCTCCGGCTCCCCATGTGAGGACATGGGAGAAACCTCCCACAAGGATGATAAAATATCAAAACATCCAGGCATCCCCTGGGCCATGTCATTGCATATGGCCAATTCTCTCATGCCAGAAGCAACTTGCAGTTTCTCAAGTTGCTCCTGACACAAAAAAATTATTTATTTACATAATTTTGTCTATCCTGTCATATGTGCCAAGATCTCAGTTCAAAGATACGCACCCAAGTCCCAAATTACTTTGTTCCAATCCTAGTCATAGCTATGTGACCAGTCCAATTTCCTAGGATTTTTCTAGAGTATGTGATTTGCTCAAGATTATCCATGGGGTTTTCGTGGCTTAGCAGGGATTCAAGCCCTGTTCCCAAGTCTGAGATCCCATCTACACTGCCATATAATACATTTTATAGTTACTGTAGACTGCATTGAAACTGCATTATATGCCTCACTTTTGTTAAAACTGAGATTTTTTAAAAAAATAAACATGCTTCTATCTTCTTAACGCTGGCTGACAATTGCAGGGCAAAGGGACATCACTTTCTACTCAGTTACAGATCCATATTCTATCATCTCCTTTCCAGCCTGCCAACACTGATTCCCAAGGTGCAAACATGTGCATGTTGTGTATATGCTTTTATTTTCTTGCTTTTTTGTAAGGTGCTATCACAACTTGTACTGTTTCGGCTTCTGTGCTAGGTTTGGAAAGCTGTCAAATCCCTTTTTTATTTACTTTGGTGGTATAATAGAATTTCAGAATTTTATAGTCTTATTTTTATAGTCCGGTAGTTCAAAACTTCATAAGCCCAAGAACCCAGTGTGCATGTGATCGCAGCATCAACTCAAGACCAGTTGTTTTTGCCACTGGCACTATTTGTAAAAATCTTCTCTTCCAGGAACAGCTTTTGGGCCTCAGATATGGCTCCTCTGCAAGTCAGTAGGGCTAATTAAGCAATTGATAGCAGCTTGCCTTAAGGCTGATGTTTCCCTTTTCATAAAACAAGGTGTTATACAATATTTGCTAAGGGCCAATTTCCATGCCTATTTAAAATTTCTCCATGGGGTGATTGTTGTAGGGATTGCTATCACATGGCAGGGGTGAAATCGCTTCACTCACTTAATTACTTTAGCCGCTTCAAATGAATAACTCACAGTGTTATAAAACAGACTCCATGCCAATGGCAGCTCTGAAAGTCTCAAGTCATATTCACTAGGAATGGCTGAGAAATATATTCCACTGCAAACATGTCACATTTGCACATCTTGACAATCTGGGACATGCTTAAACCTTAAAATTCCTTCTTAACTAAAATTTTTACAGCAGCATTTTGGAAAAAAAGTATTCATAAGATGAACAGAAATTAAAATAACTTTTGAAAACAAAATATTTCAGTACTGTTTCCAGACAGAACCAAATTCCATAAAGGATACTGTAATATTTGAAATTGAAAACAGGTAATTAGAGAAATTATCAGGCATTTCAGCTTCCACCTTTCTCAGGGTTGTCCACTGGAAAGAAAGAGATGAAACACTGTCTCATGACAGTTGGAGAAATTTGGATGACAGTGCTGGAAGCAAGACTGGGATTGTCCTCTAATTTAAGGCTGTATGGTTTAAAGATGTCAAGTCTGTAAATCTGGAAGGTTTCTCTTTTCTCAAACATGACTGGGTCGAGGGAGGGGAGAGGTCCTCATTGGAAATATAGCCACAGTTGGAAAGGCTGTGATCCTCAGAATTAAAATGTTTAGCAACGAACATTTCCACCAGTTGGGTAGTGATAGTTGACTTCTAATTGTGGATGTATGTTTGGTATATATAAAGGGTTAATCGCACTAGAGAAAATATCCACTTAAAATCCAGTTTCTGCCTCCTGCAGAATTCTGGGGTTTGTAGTTTAGGGAGGAACTTTTAACAGCCTCACTAAACTACAAACCCCAGAATCCTGAAGGAGGCAGAAACCGAATTTTAAGTGGATTTTTTCTCTAGGGTGATGAAGAGAGTTTACGTTTGAAATAGGGCATACATTTTGAAAAATGAGCACATTTTTGAAAAATATAGCATATACATATATTGTGTCTAGTGTAGAATGTTACAGAAATGGCATAGACTATTTTTAAAAGTAGAAAAAACCAACATGAGTGAAGTGAAACTGAGGTCAAGAGATTCACTCATGCCTAATATTCACACATATCTCCTTGGCTCTTGGCAAACATACGTACACTGGATGAATGGAGACGATTTTGCATTGCATGGCATGATGAATTCAGCACAAATTGGTCCCTCTGCTCCTATCAGAACCATTTGTATCAATGCATCAGTAGTCACCAGGATCATGACTCACCATGTCTTCATTCCACTTGCTGTAAGTAGAGATTTCAGGACATGGTTTTCAGAAGGCAATGCACCTAGATATCATTCAGGCTTGGTTGACAAGGGCATTTGAAGACCAAAGACAATTTTCAAGGTTTCAATCTAAATCAGTGATGGGGGACTTTAACCCTCCAGGTGTTTTCAGTCCCACTTGACATGTGCAAAGGCAAGCAGTGATGAGGTTGTAGTCAAAAACATCTGGGCAGTCCAAAGTTCCCTATTGTTTAGAGCAGTGGTGCATAAACAGTGGTCCTCCAGATGTTTTAGACTTCAGGCCCCAGAATTCCTAGAACTCCTTATCACTGGACAAGCTGGCTAGGGCTTCTGGGAGTTGGAGTACTAAGCACCTAGAGGGCCAAAGGTTATGAACCGCTGGTTTAAAGGTGCCTGATAAGACATACATTGCTGAAGTTGAGCCAGATGACTGTTGGGTCACGATCAGTTCTATAATTCTATAAGACAGAGTAGAAAAGAGAATAGAGGAAGACTGTCAAGACTAGCAAAACAACACACATTTCTCCCAAAGAAGTTACGGTGCCCCATTCAAGACAGAAAGATGTTTTGTGCCAGCTAACATCTATATTGCAACAGTATTTGTAAGCCTCATTTCCAGTTCTTACAGCCTGACAGTTACATGTATGGTAAGCAGTTATTTAGGAGTATCACAAGGTAAAAGATACATAACTTTTAATTTGTGCAGATGATTATTTACACATAGACTTTCCCTGTTCTCTCTGGGTTTAGCTACCATCCTCTCAATAGTTGGAAGGAAGTGTGATTACATTGTTGTGGTTCATTTTTCCTGTAAATAAAAGCTTTTGGGGTGGATTGTTGAATTGGATGCTCAGATCTTCAACAAAAGCTTGAGAACATCATCAACTGCAGAGGTACACTTGATGGACATTCCAGGGAGGGCTTTCTCCTTTACTGAGAAGAAATTGTACTTAATAATTTACTGCTGCACACCTAGTTGTAAGGCAGTGTGTGCTAGCTTCCTGCAAAAGCTCTGCCAATCTTTTCTCACCTCTCAGCAGCCCTTTCTCAAGCTCTGACAGGTCTAAGTCCAGAACGATCTTCATTACAAGTCTTCTGACGGCTCTAAACCCATCCTCATATTGAGTGGCAGCATTTGAACAAATGTGCAGGTTCTTTTAATATCAGAAACAGGGCCTCAGCTTATGAACAAACCTGACCTGTGGTAAAATCACAAAGGAATAGCTGTTGGTTCCTGGAAAGTTTTACAGATAAACTGAACTTTGCTCTCCCAGGTGTTTCTGCTCTACTTACCCACTGAGTAGATAATGCTTCCTAAAATTCTTTCTAGATTAGCTCAGCGTTGGCACTAGCAAACGTCTGTAGCAAGCTAGTTTGGATTGGGCCAAATCTCAGCTGTATTTTCTTCTTTATCGGGCTATCAAGAAAACAGGCATTTCAAACACAGTTGTTCTCTATTATTAGATAACAGAGCTTGGAAAGGGTACTTTTGAAAACTATAACTCTCAAAATCCCTCAGGCAACACTGCCATTAGCCACATTGGCAGGATTGAAAAAGAAAACATTTCCAAACTTTGTTAAAGCACTTTGTAAAAATAAATAAATGAGCAAGTATTGCACAAGTGTTCAAGAGGTCTAAAGAGCATAAGCGTTAAGCCACAACATCTATAGGTGTTCATAACACTTTGCTTCTTTCTTTCAGCAACACCAGCATTTCCCAATCTGTATTGCGGTACATAATATTGGTCATTTTTGCAGATTCGAAACGTGGCAGCCAATCTCTGCGTGGACAGTAAACATGGAGGCACAGGCACTGAACTCAGGCTCGATATATGTGTGAAGGATGGCTCTGAAAGAACATGGTCACATGAGCAGGTATTTTGACAGATACATCCCCTGCCATTTTTTTCTCAATATTCTAAACAGTTTTCTCTAATGGATGCCCAAATATGTACTTTGTTTTGTATTGCATTATCGGGAACCAATTCACACTACTAAGAGCTTGGACGCTGTTCAGTTCCATCCTCCCAGCATCCTGAAAGCATCCTAGGACACTGAAAAAATGAAGTCCTTTGTTTAGTTCAGTATTTCTCAACCCGGGGGTCAGGACCACTTGGGGGGGGGGCTCATGAGGAGATGTCAGAGGGGTGGCCAAAGACCATCAGAAAACACAATATTTTCTCTTGGTCATGGGGGGTTCTGTTTGGGAAGTTTAGCCCAATTCTATCATTGGTGGGGTTCAGAATGCTCTTTGAAGGTAGGTGAACTATAAATCCCAGCAACTGCAACTCCCAAATGTCCAGGTCTATTTTCCCCAAACTCCACCAGTGTTCACATTTGGGCATATAGAGTATTCAAACCAAGTTTGGTCCAGAGCCATCATTTTTTGAGTCCACAATGCTCTCTGGATATAGGTGAACTATAAATCCAAAACTCAAGGTAAAGGCCCGCCAATCCCTTCTGGTATTTTCTGTTGGTTGTGGGGGTTCTGAGTGGGAAGTTTGGCCCAAATCTATCGTTGGTGGGGTTCAAAATGCTCTTTGATGGCAGGTGAACTATAAATCCCAGCAACTACCACTCTCAAATGACAAAATCAATCCCTCCCCAACCCCACCAGTATTCAAATTCGGGCGAATTGGGTATTTGTGCCAAACTTGGTCCAGTAAATGAAAATACATCCTGCATATCAGATATTTACATTACAATTCATAACAGTAACAAAATGACAGTTATGAAGTAGCAACTAAAATAATTTTATAGTTGAGGGTCACCACAACATGAAGAACTGTATTAAGGGTTCACGGCATTAGGAAAGGTTGAGAAACACAGGTCCAGATGAAAATTCCTCCTTTTGTTGTACAAAGGTTTGAATAAACAATTAAATGAATCAGAGCCAAGTGTTGCATGAAACCGCCCTTAATCACCTGAAGGCTAAGATGCTTTTTTGATTTAATTAACAGATTTGCTAAAAGTGTGTTTTACAGCAAATATATGTTATAGATAACATTGTTATGTTGAACAGAGGCAAAACAGCGGGCTGTCATGGATGGCTCATTTCCTTTTAGTGAGAGCCAAACCTGGAAGAAATTAGACATCTGACAAATTGTTTCCTTTTCTGTTTTACACCAGTGAAAGAGCACTGCACCTGAGTGTCTAGGGCCTGCCAGGTAGAATCAGGCTTCTGCTGGGTATCACAAAAAGGCAGGAAATCACTCATTATTCAGTTGTACATTTGAAATAATGGTGATTATATTTCTATTGCTCAGGATGAGGTGATATGCCATCATATGTCTGCATTTCATGCAACACCATTTTCTGCTTCATGTACCAAAATCATTTGCCTTGATTTGGACATCTTGCCCTTTGACTTGAACAGATAAAGGGCACCGCTTGCTCTTTTCGTTTCAAGCAGTAACATGACTTGGCCATTGCAATTATAGGCTGAATTGCAGTACATCTGTCTTGTTACAACCAAATACCAGTCAGCGGAGTTTTGATGGGAGATGTAATCCAACACACCTTGAGGGTAGCCGACTGGGAGAAGTTGTTCTAAAGGAGTGACGCTGTAAATATATTTCATTAGGGCCAGATGACATATCCTAGTGTATTGGACACACTTTCCTGTTCTCTAGATATTCTAAATATTTAAAACTTGGAGGGTAATGAAAAAGGTGGTTCATAAAAAATGGTGGATGACCTTCAAAATTACACTTGAACCACCATTTACTCTTGTGTTTCTACCAGATATCTCTAACTTGAAGAAAACAGGACAACACCCAAGATTGTATACTATTTTATGAAATGTTTGTTAATTTGATAAATGATGCTTCTTCCTTTTAAAAAAATATATATCGCCACTGCTGCTGCTTCTATTTACTATTGCTGTTTTATGGGTTTCCCTGATGGATCTTGACTACCTGTAATCTCTATTTGAAATCTGTAGTTCCTCAAAGTACCAGCAGAGAGCAGCACTAGACAAGCAGAGTTCCATATCAGACCACAAGCTAGCTAATGAATTTTTAACTGTGAGATTTTCAAACTCTAAAGCCACTATAGATATTAGATGTAGCTTATCAAAGATTAAAGCAAGCTGGGGAATGGGCGGGGGGACGACTGCTGGATAATCAAATTACAATCGAAATTAATATGAAACAGATAATCGAGAAAATATATTATTTATTGGGTGGTTTAAAGGAAACAATAAAGCCATAAAATTAAAAGCCAATGCAAAACACAACAGGAAGTTAGAAAGTAAAACTTACAAACGGGTGAAAACTAGGAGTGTGCACAATATCAGCCGAATTCACAAAAAAATGGGGGTGGGGAGCAGCCAGAGGCCTACAGTACGGATCACATGGTGGCCGACTTTCCGCTGCATCTGGCTGTATTTGGCTGCCATGTGAGAAGAGCAGCCACGTGCCCACGGATCCCCACTCCCCCCATTAGCCTTGCCAGAGGCTTTTGGGGAAGGGGAAGGGACTTGGAAGAATCTGGTTGGCTGGCTGGAAGATGCAGAAAACCATTTGGATTCTGACTTGGACATTTCAAACAATCTTGACAACATCATACTGCATCTCTCTAAGGACAAGAAGTTCTAAAAGACTGTGGATGGGATGGATGGGAAACAGAATGAGCTCCAGAAAGAAAATGTTCAGCTCCCAGATGACAGCCAAAGCCTGGACCATCTCCTTGGGGAAGCCCATAATAGATAGGACACAATCTGCGACAAATCTGTGAAAAAGCAGTACAAACTGAAAGAGGTCCTCTTCTCTGGATAGGTCCTCGTCAATTGGCTGTACAAGGTGGAGCCACAATTGGCTGTAGACCAGCCTGTCCACGGTGACTTGGATTTGGTAATGAACTTAGTTGATGCCCACAAGATCTTCCAGAATGAACTTGGCAAGTGGACTGGCACCATCCAGGTTCTGAAGTGCTCTGGGTGGTTCATTGAGAACAGCCATGATGATAATACATGGATGACAGTGCAGCTTCAGGAGCTGAGCAACCACTAGGGCATCTTCTGTAACAGTTCCATGTTGAAGCAAATCCAGATGGAGTAAGTCTTTAAGCAGGCTTCCAGGTGCTTTGCCAGATAATGCAGAAGCCTTGCAGTCACTCATTGAGATGAAAGTTGATGAGAAAATATCAGACGAGACTGTAGCTGTGTGGATGGGAAAGGTCAACTTATCTGTGTGCCACCTCAACTACATCACCACCATCAAGCACTGGATCACCATCATCTGGGCTTAGTTTAAAGAAGTCCTTGCATGGCAAAGCTGCTCTCGCAGTGGCTGGAGGCCGCCTTATTAAAGCTGGTAGCCAATGCCCAGCTGCTGGAGCAGCTCTAATGTGTATTTGGTGGGCTAAAACCATGCTGATTCAATGGAACTAAGAGTCCATGCTGCAGAATATTGACCAAATCAAAGCTAACGTTGCAAATCCCCAGTCGTTTATGAGAAGAAATGACTCAAAAACAGCTAGACTGTGGATTGTGTCACAAAAATATACAAGACAAAAGCCAATGAGCCAAGCCTCTCAGTGAGAAATGAAGCAACAGAAAATCTTTGATCCAGGCTTCACCTTTTCTGATGCCTGTTCTCTCCCAATGAGAAGCCAAGAACCTGTGCAGCGCAAGTTCAGCGATGTCCTGGATCACCTGGAAGAGCTGAAAGAGTTTGCCAATTTTGAATGTGATGTGTGGCGGAAGAAGTACATGCACTGGGTGAAACACAATAATTCATGCATATTGTCAAAGACCAGGATAGGAAGATCATTTGGCAGGAGTTCATTGATGGAAGCCTGGCATCCAAATTCCCAGCCACAATATTGGAGATGATCACCATAGCCAATGTCTTTGACCACTACAGAGATGGTTACATTGACTACTATGAGTTTGTTGCAGCTCTGCATTCTAATAATGTATCTCTCCTTATAAACCATCTAGGAGTTTAAGTTCATCTTAGGAGGCCCTGCTCTTAGTCCCACCTTCTTTGCAGGCGCAATTGGCAGGGACAAAAGACAGGGCCTTCTCAGTGGTGCCCTCTAGGCTATGGAACTCTCTCCCTAGGGATATTAGATCAGCCCCTTCTCTCCTGACGTTCCACAGAAAGTGAAAACATGGCTTTTTGAACAAGCCGTTGGGAACCTAGTGCAATAGATAAACATGGAACTATGTGAAATCGAATACTGGAATGACGTAGACGATGTTTTTGGTTGACAAGGCTAATAGTGAAGTTAGTGGTTTTATATGTTTTTAAAGGTTTTAATGTATGTATTTTATAATTCTGTTTTAAATGTTTATTGTAATTTTAAAATTATTTTAATGGCATCAAATAGCTGCCTATGTTGTAAAGCCACCTTGAGTCACCTTCAGGTTTGAGAAAGGCGGGGTAGAAATATTGTAAATAAATAAATAAATAGAGATGCTTACCAGTCAACCACAGATTCAGAGAAATTGATGTGACAAGGAAAAAGGCTCAGTGCAATGCTCAAAGAGGTTCCAGGTGGAGCAGATTGGAGAGAACAAATACCGCTTTGGCAATTTTCAGCAGTTGTGGCTGGTCCGTATCCTATGCAGTACAGCCGTGGTCTTTGTCAATGGAGGCTGGATGGTCCTGGGTGAATTTCAAGTGAAGAACAATTCTTGCCAAGCATGAGGAAGAACCAACCTTTAACTCTGAAATGTTGTCATCCTTCCTAAGGGGGCTTTTCAGGGAATGGCAGAATTCTGATCCTGAGACTGCTAGTCAAAGCTCTCTTCTCAGGAGGCCTCCCTGACACTCTCCAGCAACAGACAGAGTAACCTCAGCTGCACTTCTATGCCATCTTCCCCAACCACACCAGCAATCAGCACAAAGATGGCACTTCCTTTCAGC